TCCAACCCCCTGCCCTTAGCCAGAGATAGAGGTGGGATCTCCCCAAAGCAGAACAGAGTGGATTTATATCCTCACATGATCTGGAAATTATATATTCCTCTAGAAAAAAGGGAATTTTTGCAACATGCCACTGAAAGACCAAATTGCATTTCTTCCCTCAGGACCCTGGCATTTGTTTACACAAGAAAAGGTAGGGTGACAACCTGTTCTCTAAAGCACCCAAAGCATCTTGGTTGATTGTTTGCATACATTTCATTACCTAATGACGTACAGGTAGTCCTCCACTTACAACAGTTCATTTAGTGACCATTCAAAGTTACAATGTCACTGAAAAAACTGACTAATGACCGTTTTTCACACTTACAACTACTGCAGCATCCCCATGGTCATATGATCAAAATTCAGATTGATGGCAACTGACTCAAATCTATGATGGCTGCAATGTCCCAGGGTCAGGTGACCACCTTTTGTAACCTTCTGACAAGCAAAGTCAATGAGGAAGTCAGATTCACTTTACAACTGTGTTACTAAACATAGTGATTCACTTAACAACTGTGGCAAGAAAGGTCGTAAAATGGGGCAAAACTAACTGAACAAATGTCTTGCTTAGCAACATAAATTTTGGGCCCAATTGTGGTCGAGGACTACCTATAACATCATCAGGCATCTGATGTTGTGTAATGAAACATCTTCAAGCAAACAACCAAGTTCAAAGAACACCAAGACTTCCACAGTTCTCTTCTTTTGGAACAAATTAAATTCTCCAGTAGCCCAGGAGGAATTCATAATAAATTATTCCCCCCACCAAGGCTTTGATTTCTCACATTTTCTTGCCTCCTGTCCTGATAAATCAGTGCCTTGCCTTGTCAAATTAGTGGTAATGTACTAGAAGCGTCTTAACATTACAGAATGTTTTTTTTTTAATATAAACATTTTGATTTCTTTATGTTCCTGTGTCTGGAATGCATTGCTTTAACGTCTGTTGCATTCGCTTTTCTTTCAATATGGAGCAAGGTTCATTAAGTTCACTGCGGTAACCTTACTACATCTGTTATGAAGAAGCTTAGCACAACTTTGAACAAGCAAAAGGCACAAGATCTTTAAGTCTAAAAGAATTTTTTTAAGCCTGTTCTTCACATAGACTAGGATTCAGTAGCAAAATCAGCTTTGTGCTATGACAATGTTTCGTCATGAGAAGCTAACAAGCAATCAAATTATCCTGCTGATAACTTAGCAGAATTGCATCCTTTTTGCTTTCATAATTTCTCCCATAGATTCAAACTCATTTTCCTTCCTGCATCAAATTGTTTGAGCTTGCTGGTCCTGAGGAAGAGGATAGGGCCCTAATGCTGTGAGTTTGGCCATTTGTGTTTTAGATTCATGACCTTCCTGGTTGGTTAAAGCCTTCCAGGAGGCGGCATGATTGGATCCAAGTGATTGGGCCCAGTTTATGTTCCCTCGAGAGAAAAAGTTTATTTCACCCACTCCTTTGTCAAGCCCTTTGAGGTAGGCTAGATCAGAAACAGACTCCATAAAGACTATTGGAGTCTACTTTAATAATAATAATAATAATAATAATAATAATAATAATAATAATAATAATAATAATAATAATAATAATAATAATAATAATAATAATAATAATAATAATAATGATGATAAAGTTGGGACCTCGGAGGTCATCTAGTCCAACCTCCTGCTCAGGCAGGAAACCCTATACCATTTCGGACAAATGGCTGTCCAGTTTCTTCTTAAAAGCTTCCAGTGTTGGCGCATTCACCACTTCTGGAGGCAGGTTGTTCCACTGGTTAATTGTTCTAACTGTCAGGAAGTTTCTCCTTAGTTCTAGGTTGCTTCTCTCTTTGGTTAGTTTCCATCCGTTGTTTCTTATCCTGCCTCAGGTGCTTTGGAGAATAGCCTGACTCCCTCTTCTTTGTGGCAGCCCCTGAGATATTGGGACACTGCTATCATGTCCCCCCTCGTCCTTCTCTTCGTTAAACTAGACATACCCAATTCCAGCAACCATTCCTTATATGTTTTAGCCTCCAGTCCCCTAATCATCTTTGTTGCTCTTCTCTGGAGAAACCTGAAAGCCTGACAGTGTTTCTCTTTCCTCCTTCATATACCCAGGAGAATCAAGGTGGGGCAATTTTGAGTTTCTTTCTCATCTCCTCATCTCTTTCAGGACTAACCTGGTGTTTATGCAACTGCCCTTGCATTCCTTCTTCAATTTATCTCTGTATACCTTTGCATTCCTCTCATCCAGAAGCCATTGCTGGATCTGACAGAATTGGACAACTTCTATGAAAGATTGTTTAGTTGTGTTTCAAACCTGGTAATAGCGCTGAGATGGCACTGATCATGCTCGTTAATTTTAGTAAGACCAGGATGGAGATAGTACATCCATCCTAACTCTCTTAGTCACTTTCAGGGCTGTTGATAATGGTAACTTTCTGAACTAATCAAGAGATTGGGAGTGGGAGGCACAGTGTTACGGGTTTCAGTTCCATTATTCAGTTCTAATTCTAGCCAGTGTTGGTAGAGTTGAAGAAGTCTAGAGCTATAGACTGGCTTTTCAGAGTGCATCAGGACTCTACTCATTCTCCACTCCTATTTAATACCTACATGAAGCCACGGGATGAAGTATTGGCAGTATGTTGATGATGCTCAATTGTACACTTCTGTCTTGGGTTATCCATATGATGCCAGATAAGCTTCTTTCCCAGTATCTGAAGCAGTGTTTCTTGTAATACATGCTGGCTGGGGAATTTTGAGAGGAAGTCCCTCCATCTTAAGGTTGGTGAGACTGACAACCACTGATCTGAAGGCTTTGAGGCTAGAATGAGTTCTTGAAGGTTTTGAGGCCCCCAAATCTATTTTTGTGTTTAATTCTGAATGAGGTAGCAATCAGATAGATTGATAGATGAGAGAGAGAGAGAGAGAGAGAGAGAGAGAGAGAGAGAGAGAGAGATGATGGATGTAGATCTCAAAAGTAACCCCCATATGCAATTTCTTATATAAATTACAATAAACATTTGACTTGGCTGCTACTTTATACTAAACATTTCCTTATTCATTTGATGCATGAACTTTAAACATAGCATGCAGTACAATAATGTATGGTCTGAAAAAAAATTAATTAGTAAAGCCTACTGTGATTGGTCTATCTGGTCTGACTATTGATACCCCTGTGGATATGTATGTACCCCATACCCGAGTGGTATCATTTTGTGTGTGCATGTTTTCCAATTGCCTTCAGTATTACACTTTGGGCAAGGGACAATAGTGTAGGATTTTAACTAACAAATTAGCCATCATTTACTGAAATGGTTAACTCTATGCAATCAAATTAGTTCATATTGCTCCTACGTGCTTTTATGCTCATGTGTTATTATGCTGCATAAATGGCTATCCGGGTACCTAAATCATATTAGAAGTCTGGAATAAATTAATTAATCTTAACAGCAATTCTGGGAATTGTGACTCAATCTCCTAGATGAACATGGCTCAAAATGTATTAAACTTCTGACTCATTCTTAAATTCCATCTGGATCCAATTCCGATCATCCATAGACAGAGATGTAAAGTTGCAAGTCAAAGGTTCCCTTAGTGCTAACTGGCTCTAAAACTAATTTTTTCCCCAGGTATAAAACTTGCATGGTCTTCCTAAAAAGATTCACTGAAGTGGGAGAGGAACAAGAATGTCAGCAAATGAACTAATTCCTGCTTTAAATTAATGTATTCCCTAAGAGATTAAGTGGAGCCTTTAACAATTTGTTTCAGATGGCCTTTCTGTAAATTAAATTTATATTTATATTTGTTTCAGGGAGTTTTTGTGTTTGGGGGAAGGTTTATTTGTGTCGAATTTTTGCATTTAATTGTTTTCAGCTGTTTTCTTTGTTGCAATGTGTTATTTTATTGTATGCCGCACAGAGTCACATTGGCGAGATGGATGGCTATGTAAATCTGATTAAATAAATAAATAATCTAGCAGAGTTTTAAAAATTTGCTTTTATTGGTAATTGTCTCGAGTCATTGAGAGTTCGGCAGCATATAAATGTAACAACAACAAACAACAACAAACCAGCTGGGTGATTTTGGGCCAATCACTCTCTCTCAGCCCAATTTACCTCACAGGATTGTTCTTATGGGGACAATATCATGTTTCCCAAAAAATAAGACCCGGTCTTTTTTCCCCCCTCCAAAAGAGGCACCAGGTCTTATTTCGGGGGGATGTCTTTTCCATGGTCTTGCCTCATGATGGCGGCACTGACAGCCCCGCCCAGCCAGCCCACTTCTTCTACGGCTGCTTGCCACCTCTCGCATGCATCACTTCTAGCCTCCATTTTGCCATCAGGGGCCTTCAGGAAATACCTCTGAAACTGAGAATGGAGCTCCGGATTAACGCACATGACATCCCCCAGCCTCCAGGGGGTACCACACGGATCAATCTGGAGCTTGGTTCTCGGCTTCAGAGCCCTTTCCTGAAGGCCTCTGACAGTGAAATGGAGGCTGGAAGGTACCACTCACATCAATCCGGAGCTCCATTCTGAGCCTGCTTAATGCCCCTAGTTGGGGGGCTGCAAGGCAAAAGAGATTATAAAAAAAGTAGAACTGCAGTATAGCAGTCAAAATGCCAAGGTGCAATCAATCAGACCGGTCTGTCTGAAAAAACTTTCTGTATATACTCCCTTGACTCAGCTGACAAAGAGGGGAGGAGAGCCGGTGGCCTGGTGGTTAATACAACTGCCTAGCATGTAGACTGCCCTGGTTCAAATCCCATAAAGGGTGTGGCTAGCTGATGAGGACAAATGAGTCCGAAATAGCTATACTAGTCTCCCACTTAAATCTTTAACTCTTGTCAGCAAAAAGAAATCTGAATTTGTAATGTATCGCAGTTGCAACTTGAGCCTGCTTAAAGCCCCTAGTTGGGGGACTGCAAGGCAAAAGAGATTATAAAAAAGTAGAACTGCAGTATAGCAGTCAAAATGCCAAGGTGCAATCAATCAGACCGGTCTGTCTGAAAAACTTTCTGTATATTATATATATATATAATCTTATCTGTTGGGTGAGGCACCCGGTCTACCAAATATAAATCAGTCTGTTCTGTGTTTGCTCCAATCTAGGAACATGTTTTGCAGGCAGACCTCACATACTGTGAACACTATAAATTCAAAATTTTGTGGCTGACAAAGAGTTAGTGCAGTGGTTCTCAACCTTCCTAATGCCACGACCCTTTAATACAGTTCCTCATGTTGTGGTGACCCCCAACCACAAAATTATTTTCGTTGCTACTTCATAACTGTAATTTTGCTACTGTTATGAATCGTAATGTAAATATCTGATATGCAGGGTGTATTTTCATTGTTACGAATTGAACATAATTAAAGCATAGTGATTAATCACAAAAACAATATAGCAATGCTCGCTGGAGAAGCTTACTCTTCCTTGCTCAAAAATGTTGGGAGGGAGGGNGGAAGGAAGGAAGGAAGGAAGGAAGGAAGGAAGGAAGGAAGGAGAAATTAAAGGGGAAGGGAAGGAGATGGATGGAAGGAAGGAAGGAAGGAGTGATCTTTGGAGAGTCATGTTTTCCCAGATGGTGATGAACTGCAACTCCCAGCATTCTCCACTCTTCCACAGTGCTTTTTAGGGCTGCTGGGGATGGTAGTCCAGTAAGGTCTGGAGACACACACAGATGCCCTAGCAGGGAAAATTGGCCTGGTAATTGCTGTGGCTTTACTTGGAGGCATTCTGCAGCTCCTGAAAATCACTTTAACCAATTTTCCCTGGTTCAGCAAAGGCAAGTAATAAAACAAGCAACAGGTACCGGTAATAAAATAGTCCAAATTGTCCTTTCCAGTGCAGATGAAAAGAACCAGGGAAAGAGAAATCGTGTCTGCCTCTTTGACCAACGGGAGGAGAAGTGGTAGGAAAAGCACGGCATTTTGGCCTGGGCACACAGCCTTGCCCGCAGGCACTGCCAAGGATGCACAAGCAGCTCCACACAATTGCCTGGGGAGGGGGGAGGCTCTGGCGGAGAGCCAAGCGGCAGCACCTCCGGGGCCTTGGAAGCCTCACCTCGGATCAGTGCACCTCAGAGCCACCGGCCACCCTCTCTTGCTCGCCAACCTGGGGCCCCCCATCCTCATCCTGGCACCTCTTGTCCTCTCCCAGCTGCCCCCCCGGGACCTGCCCACCCCTTCAGCATCCTGAGCGCCATCGCAGCAGCGGGGTTGCGGGAGCCCCTTTCCACATCGCGCAGCCCTTCACCGCCACGATCCTTCCCCGACTCGTCGCACGCGAGAGGGGTGCGGCTGGAGTGCCAGCTCCTGCTCGGAAGATGCCGCTTCTCCCCTCCCAGCCCAGCCAGATGGCCTCCGACACACATGCAGGCATCGCTGCCACCTCACCCTCTTTCCCGTCACCTGGCCGCTTCTGAGGTTCGGAACCCGGTGAGCCGGGAAGGAGCCGCTCCTGCCTGCCAGCCCCAGGGCTGCGCTGGGCACCAGAGGGCCGAGGTGGCCTCCGATGGTGAGGGAGGCGGGCCGAGCGGCACGGGGAGGCTCCGGCGTGGTGCAGAGGGTGGCTGGGGGCAGAGCACGGCCGGGCAACCAGGAGGCATGGGGACCAGCTCGGTGTTGCAGTTCAGCTCAGCCAGCACTGGCGGCAGCGGCAGAGCAGCTCAGCGGCAGCACCAGCAGCGGCCCAGACTAGGCTCGACTCGGCCCAGCCGCCTACGCAGCTGAGCCGGCCCGGGGCCGCGTCGGGGGTGCGCGCGATGGTGCTGCGGCAGCAGGAGCAGGCGCTGTCGGAGAAGGGCGCCCTGGAGGCGGAGGAGCCAGAGGAGGAGGAGCAGGGCAGCAGCAGCGGCCGGATAGAGGAGCGGTATCTCAGTTCCTAAGACCATCGGAAATATGTGTTTTCCGATGGTCTTAGGCGACCCCTGTGAAAGCGTCGTTCGACCCCCCAAAAGGGTCGTGACCCACAGGTTGAGAACTGCTGAGTTAGTGGGAGACTAGTATAGCTATTTCAGGCTCATTTGCCCTCATTAGCTAGTCACGCCCTTCAGGGATTTGAACCTGGGCAGTTTGCATGTTAGGCAGCTGTATGTTAGGAAGCTGTAGACCGGGTGCCTCACCCAAAAGATAAGATATATATCCTCCCTGGTTTTTGCTGACAGGAATAAGGGGGAACCTGTGGCTCAAAAGGGTAATACAGCTGTCTAACATGCAAGCTGCCCAGGTTTGAATCACTGAAGGGTGTGACTAGCTGATGAGGACAAATGAGCCTGAAATAGCTATACTAGTCTCCCACTAACTCTTTGTCAGCCACAAAGGTGATCTTGCTGTTGTCTATTTATGAAACCATTTCCTGAATCCTTATCAGTCTGCAAACTGACCTGTATAGCACCTGTATCTCAAAATAGGATCTGTTTCATATCTGAAGCAAAGGGGTTATAATGCACCACCCTTCTGAATCGCTGTCAGCTGCAATCTGAGCCAAAAATATTCCAACTGCAATGGTCCAAATAAACCTACTCTGGAGCAAGAGAGAAATTAAGCCCCTGCTAGCAATAAGCAGCAGAGCTGTCTGACATTCCTACAACTGCTTTTAGCATGCAAATATGAATCTCCCTAAACAACAGAATCCACAGCCAACCTCCACACGTTTCCCTGCACGAAAACCCAGGGGATCTGATTTTGAACTGACAAAAAGATGCTTTTTTAATATGGTCAGGGAAAAAGAAAAAAAAAATAAGCACAGTGACTCATGTATTATACATCACAAACAGGTTGGGCTTCTCTATATTCATTACACTATTCCCAGTCTTTCTCACTTGCACTGAAGTTTGATCGAGCCTCAGCTGGGGCCATACAACCTTCATTTATAAACTGATATGGGAGGGGATGCGAGGAAGCTAAGTTATAATTATGCAGTATTGTTCCTAAGAGAGTGGATTCCTTCTATTTTCTACATGGGAAAGAGGCGGCAGAGAAGCTAAGTATTATCAGCTTATGACAATAATGGAGCCCAGAATTACGGTTGTAAGTCATTGTGGTGGTAAATCAAGGCACCACATGACTGGACAGAATTTTTCTGCATATTTTGCAGTGGTTGTGATGACCAGGACTTAGGGGACAGCAGTATCAATTGTGAATACGTACAGATGGCCCCTCTCTCTGTGGTCACTTGCAAAGTCCTGGATGCAGGGTCATGAAAGGACAGCAAGAAAACACCCAATGTCCTAACCCACCCGAGAACATACGATATCTTTAGGGAAATACCCCAAAGGGAACATGTTTAGCTACTTCTGCTTTCTCCTTTCTTATCTACAGTGTGCCAGACTTACTGGGTGAAATCTTTATCATGTGTATCAGCTTTGCTGGATGGGTTGCTTATGTAATCAGAAAGAATACATACAAGGATTTATTGTCATTCGGGGCTTCTCTCATTTATTCAGCTGAATAAAAACATAAAGCTTGAAGGCAACTTCTGGTTTCCTGTATTTTTTTTATCAAGCAAAACCTCAGAACCTGCATATCAGTTGTTAAGTGAACCCTGTGGTTGTTAAGCAAATTCATTTTACCCAATGGGCATTTTTTGCCAAAAACCCAAAAATAAATATCAGAAACCATCAACAAATGTTGACAATCATGGTCATGTGATCACGGGACACTGCAAACAGTCATAAAAATAAGTCAGTTGCTAAGTGTCCAAAATACAATTTTGTGATTGGAAAGGGATGCAGCTATCATAACTCTGAAATCGTGTCTTAAGTAATTGTTAGTCTTAAGTCTATATATTGTAGCGCTACTACCATCATGCCATATCTATTTCCATCTTATTATACAGTGTGAGCTCTCAAAAAATTTCATGAGGAAATTTAAGCTTATTGCACCTCGCAAAATGGAGAAAACAGAGTTGGAAGGGACCCTGGAGATCTTCTAGTCCAACCCGCTGTTCAAGTAGGAAACCCTGAATCATTTCAGACAACTGGTTGTCCAATGTCTTCTTAAAAACCTCCAGTGTTGGAGCACCCACAACTCCTAGAAGCAAGCCATTCACTGTAAGGAAATTTCTCCTTAGTTCTGGGTTGGTTCTCTCCTTGATTAGTTTCCATCCATTGCTTCTTGTCCTGCCTTCTGGGGCTTTGGAGAATAGGTTGACCTCCTCTTCTTTGTGGTAGACCCTCAAATATTAGAACACTGCTATCATGTTACCTCTACTCTTTTTTTTCATTATAAGGAACGGTTGCTGGAATTGGGTATGTCTAGTTTAACGAAGAGAAGGACGAGGGGGGACATGATAGCAATGTTCCAATATCTCAGGGGCTGCCACAAAGAAGAGGGAGTCAAGCTATTCTCCAAGGCGCCTGAAGGCAGGACAGGAAGCAACGGGTGGAAACTAACCAAAGAGAGAAGCAACCTAGAAGTAAGGAGAAACTTCCTGACAGTTAGAACAATTAACCAGTGGAACAACCTGCCTCCAGAAGTGGTGAACGCACCAACACTGGAAGTTTTTAAGAAGAAACTGGACAGCCATTTGTCCGAAATGGTATAGGGTTTTCTGCCTGAGCAGGGGGTTGGACTAGATGACCTCCAAGGTCCCTTCCAACTTTATCATTATTATTATTATTAAACTGCAACCACTTTAGCCTCCAGCCCCCTAATCATCTTTGTTGCTCTTCTTTGTACTCTTTCTAGAGTCTCAACGTCTTTTTTGCATCGTGGCAATCAAAACTGGATGCAGTATTCCAAATGTGTTCTTACCAAGGCATTATAAAGTGGTGTTAACATTTCACATGATCTTGATTCTCTGTTAATGCAGTCTAGGACTGTGTTGGCTTTTATGGCAGCTGCAACAAACTGCTGGCTCATATTTAAGTGATTGTCCGTTAGGACTTTCTTTAATACTAAAGGAAACACTCTATAGATTATAAAAATGGGCTTTCCCAATCGTTAGATGGAATAGGGTTCAGCTACAGGTTTTATTACTTGTATTACTTATTACTTAAAGTAAGCCGCAGTTTCAACTGTAGTTATTATAAGCCATCTTAAGGACAAACATGTCTAAATCTCTGTAATGTAGATTATATCTCATTTGGATGGGACCAGTATGTAAAGACCAGCAGGAAATGAAATGTTAAACACAACTTTAAGACATGTATTATGTATATTGTAGCGCTACTACCATCATGCCATATCTATTTCCATCTTATTATACAGTGTGAGCTCTCAAAAGATTTCATGAGGAAATTTAAGCTTATTGCACCTCGCAAAATGGAGAAAAAAATGATAATGTTGCCTTATTTTCCGATAAAAATGCCACAAGTTATTTATCCAACCCCAGTATTATGCATGCATAGTCTTGGCAGAGAAGTAAATCTTTCAAAAAGGGGAACTGGAAAAAGAGGAGAGCATGCATGGATGGAACAAAAGTAGATTAATTGAATCCTGAGAATGGGGAGCCTCATTTCAAGCCTTATTTACTATGCTAGCATAATAAATTGGGAGGTAATGTTAGCTCATCTGTCAGCATTTGTTTGCTGAAAAAGCTAAGGCCTCGCAGTTCTAAAGGGGATTGGCTGGCAAACATTTCAAAATCTGGGACGATTTTGGTCCCTTCTCTGCAAGACACGCAATAAAATTCTGCCCAAAATTTGGTGACAAAACTACCCATTTTTAACAGTGCAATTACCAATAGCAACACACACACACACACACACATACACACAGATTTATACTGGAAGAAAAAGAGAAGGGGAGAAGGAAAGGGGAGAAAGCAAGGGAAAGGGGAGAGGGAAAAGGAGAGGGAAAATGAAGAGGATGAGAAAGAGGGAGAGGGGAGAGGGAAAAGTGAGAGAGAGGGGGGAAGGGAAAGGGAGAGGGAAAGGGAAGGGAAGCTATAGAAATCTTTTTTAAAAAAGCTCTCCACTGCATTTGAATTATAGATTATGAGGCTTAGGCACCCGAATCAAAAATGGGGAAGAATGTGATTGCTTAGAGCAAGAAGGAAGGAAGGAAGGAAGGAAGGAAGGAAGGAAGGAAGGAAGGAAGGAAGGAAGGAAGGAAGGAAGGAAGGAAGGAAAGGAAGAAAGGGAAGAAAAGGAAGGAAGGAAGGTTTTCTAAAGGTTAGAAGGATGGTGGCCCTTCAAATTGCCAACAGGAGGGCATTCCACAAGGGTAGACACAACCACAGAAAAAACACACTTCCAAGGTCCCACTAGATGGCAAGATTTTTGGGAGGGGACCTGGTCTATGCCCAATCTATCTGATCTAGTGGATTGGGTGGATATTTTTAGGGAAAAGCAGTCCCACAAATAAACAGGTCCCATGTCACGTAGGGCTTTAAAGGTGATAGCCAGCGCCTTGAATTGCACCTGGAAGAAAACTAAGGAGCACTGGAGATTGCACAACCAAGGTATAACATGGACAAACCTACTGGCGCACAATACTGCCCATGCTGTTGCATTTTGGACCAGTTGTAACTTCTGAGTGGTCTTCAAGGGTAGCCTCATGTAAAGCGCATTGCAATAATGCAACAATCCAGCAATCCATGATCTCCTGGTTTTCAGTCTGGTGCCTTAACCACTACAGCAGTGATGGCGAACCTTTTAGAGACCCAGTGCCCAAATTGCAACCCAAAACACACTTATTTATCACCGAGTGCTGGGTGGGCATGGCCGCAGTGGTCATGGCAGACTGGGTGGGTGGGGCCAGGGCAGTGGGGGCCAGTCCCTCACCATTTCCGGGGAACGGCATGCGTGCCTACAGAGAGGGCTCTGAGTGCCGCCTCTGGCACGTGTGCCATAGGTTCACCACCACTGCACTACAGTAAGCTGGCTTTTTGAAGGCTATAGGATAATGTTTCTCATGCTGCGGCGGTTGGGTGGGTTGGGAATGGGGGGCACCGTGATGCGGTGGTTCTCTTCCTTCCTCACCGACCGTACGCAGTCTGTATTGGCAGGGGGACAGAGGTCGACCCCAAGACCCCTAACTTGTGGGGTTCCACAAGGGTCGGTCCTCTCTCCACTTCTGTTCAATATTTATGTGAAGCCGCTGGGGGAGAT